GTGTGCGCAGAGTCAACTCACGCTACGCAGTACTGAGACGAAGAGACATCGCAACACACCCGTGTACAGACTCACCGTAGCCAAAATACGCGTGCAGTACGATGCGCGACACGCGAATACATGTCCTTGTGCAGAGGAGGCTCCCTTAATGTCGTGGCTTGCCGGCTTGTTTCAACTGCATTGCAAGCTGAGGCTCCCTTAATTTAGTGGCTTGCCAGCTTGTTTCAACTGCATTACAAGCTGAGGCTCCCTTAATGTAGTGGCTTGCCAGCTTGTTTCAACTGCAGTCCAAGCTGAGGCTCCCTTAATGTAGTGGCTTGCCGGCTTGTTTCAGCTGCAGTCCAAGCTGAGGCTCCCTTAATGTAGTGGCTTGCCGGCTTGTTTCAACTGCATTACAAGCTGAGGCTCCCTTAATGTAGAGGCTTGCCATCTTGTTTCAACTGCAGTCCAAGCTGAGGCTCCCTTAATGTAGTGGCTTGCCGGCTTGTTTCAGCTGCAGTCCAAGCTGAGGCTCCCTTAATGTAGTGGCTTGCCGGCTTGTTTCAACTGCATTGCAAGCTGAGGCTCCCTTAATTTAGTGGCTTGCCAGCTTGTTTCAACTGCATTACAAGCTGAGGCTCCCTTAATGTAGTGGCTTGCCGGCTTGTTTCAACTGCAGTCCAAGCTGAGGCTCCCTTAATGTAGTGGCTTGCCAGCTTGTTTCAACTGCATTACAAGCTGAGGCTCCCTTAATGCAGTGGCTTGCCGGCTTGTTTCAGCTGCAGTCCAAGCTGAGGCTCCCTTAATGTCGTGGCTTGCCGGCTTGTTTCAACTGCATTACAAGCTGAGGCTCCCTTAATGTAGAGGCTTGCCATCTTGTTTCAACTGCAGTGCGAGCTGAGGCTCCCTTAATGTAGTGGATTGCCAGCTTGTTTCAACTGCATTACAAGCTGAGGCTCCCTTAATGTAGTGGATTGCCAGCTTGTTTCAACTGCAGTCCGAGCTGAGGCTCCCTTAATGTAGTGGCTTGCCGGCTTGTTTCAACTGCATTGCAAGCAAAAGGCTCCCTTAATGCAGTGGCTTGCCAGCTTGTTACAACAGCATCGCGAGCTGAGACTCCCTTAATGTAGTGGCTTGTCGGCTTGTTTCAGCTGCGTGAACGCTGATCCACACACAGAAATGTGCGTGCGTATACCCAGCTCACGCCCAGTGATTGTCTGAACCGGTCTCCTCTAGATCGACTCAGCCTTAAATGAGTACCTGGTGTATATCCACAGGTGAAATGGGCAGCAGTGGTGTCGTGGTTGGCGCACTGCGAATCAGGCGGCTCGAGTTGAATTCCCACCCATGACCACAAATGGCGAATAATTGAACCTGTAGTGGGCCTCCCCTAGGTCGACTCAGCCCTAAATGATGACTTGGTGTGGTGTGTAAACATCGTTACGGGGGAGGCAAAGGCGGCCGGACATGGTGTTGGCCACGACCCCCCCCCCCCCCCCCCACCTCCTCTCCTATGGGGTATGTACGGATGTTGAACTTCTTTCGCACCATACGTAGCCAACCGTGCTAATCGGAGGTGCGGGCGGGGTGGGTGTGGGGAAGGACAACAAACCAAACACGAATTTATTTCTCAACAAGCGGCCCGCTCGGTTTGGGAACTCTCGACGATCGGTGCGGGAAGGAGGAACGTGGAGTGAGCGGTTGGGGGGTAGATGCCCGAGTTTTGTTTTGTTAGCGGCTACATGTCAGAACCCCCTCCCCCCACACTCTTAGTACTTTCGGTAAAGTCACGTAGGTAAAAAATGAAATGAATAAAAATAAAACAATAACAAGTATAACCCGTAAAAACAAAGTTTTTCACTATAAATCCTTTATATGCGTGGCGGTTAGAGTCCTCTCGTCCTCTGGCTTGAGATGGCTGCCACCTATGGGTCAGATGATTGCATGGCAGCATTAAGCAATTGGTCATTAAATATAATATTTTTGTCCTAAAAAGTGTAAAATTTTGGAAAAAAATGTTCACGAACATTAATTGTCACGCACAACGAGTCTGTGTGGAAAATTTCAGCTCGATTGGATCACGGGAAGTGGGTTAAAAAACGACCGAAAGATTTGCACGGTCCTAAGCAAGCAAGCAAGTGAACTTAATATAAAGGATTTAATAAGTATAACCCGTAAAAACAAAGTTTTTAACTCTAAATCCTTTATATGCGTGGCGGCTAGAGTCCTCTCGTCCTCTGGCTTGAGATGGCTGCCACCTATGGGTCAGATGATTGTCTGCCAGTATTAAGCAATTGGTAATTAAATATTTAATTTGTTTTCCCTAAACAGTGTAAAATTTAGGAAAACATTTTCTCACGAACATTAATTGTCTCGCACAACGAGTCTGTGTGCAAAATGTCAGCTCGATTGGATCACGGGAAGTGGGTTAAAAAACGACCGAAAGATTTGCACGGTTGTAAGCAAGAAGCAAGCACGCAAGCAAGTGAACTTAATATAAAGGATTTAAAAATCACGACGTTTCGGAGGCAACACAAGTCTCCGTCATCAGGTGGGACCGTTACAGCCAGGGCACGGCTCTAGATTGCCTTGGGGGTGTGACGATGGGATCAGCTGTCAGCCCCTTATCAGTGGCCCTACCTTATCACAGACCCATTCAAACCGTATTGGTCACCCCGTGGTGCCCTTCTAAATATCAACGTTCATCCTACAAAGTTCCATCATGAAACGGCTGCACGCCGCCATACGGACCTGAAATCTCAATTTCCATGTACAAGAATCCGGGGTAAACCGTGTGGTTTGACAGTTATATTGCATTGTAGTGTTTCGTCGTGTAGTGTATAATGTAGTGTATCGTTTCGACGGCTTGCTTTGCTATCGAAACGTCGTAGTTTTTTGTTATTTTCTTTGAACCTATCTACGTGACTTTACCGAAAGACCCAAAGAATATGAATTCCTGCAGTCACGAAAGCTTTACGTCAAGATATAGTAGTATAGTGTTCATCCTAAAAAGTCCCATCATAGTTTAAAGCGATTTGAAGCATGTTTTTTTTGGGAGGGGGGGGCAGAGCTTTGTGACGTCATATTTGGGGGGGTCTGACTTTTTGTGACGAGGGGGGGGGGGGTAAAAATCTTCCAAAATCGCGTTAAACTATTGTCATTGTAGTGCGTATTTAATGTGGCGCTGCACTCTGATGTTGTAGGAGAACATATTTATTAAAACGTCTATTTAATTAAGTAGAACGTGTTGTCTATATTTATTCAAAGTTGCGCATTTTGATGTGACGTCACATTTCTCAACCCCCCCCCCCCCTCGTCACACATCGTCACAAATGTCTGACCCCCCCCCCCCTAGGTGCGTGACGTCATTTACGAACGGCCCCATACTGGAGATCGGCTGGTGCTATTAGGGGGCTGTGCACTTTTAAATCATCAGATCGAAAACTAATTTCTATAGAACTGCTTTTTGTGTTTCGTCTCTTGACCCTCCCCCCCCACGGTGGGCTACGATCGGTGCGGAAGAAAACATGATGCCTTATATAAAGGTGTCAGTTTTTGTACCAGTTGAAAGGGTAAAAACCTATTACTATATTTTGCCACTGGTAAAAGAGGTCTCATAGTGTAAATGCTTACCCCGAGCTCTCAATACTCTGATAGTGCGCTGTTTTTGAGTTGTACGCATTTTGGCGTCATCTGGTCCAACACCAATGGAGACTAGGCTCTAAGAAAAGCTGTCTCGGGTGTGGACCAATCAACTTCAAGGACAGTGCATACATTATCATCATTATCAGAGTTGTTTCTTTTTGTTTGCATTTTGACTGCTTGTGTTGTGGTTATTGCAAACATGCTGCCTTGTATAAAGGTGTCAGTTTTTGTACCAGTTGAAAGGGTTGAAACCTATTACTATATTTTGCCACTGGTAAAGGAGATGTCTCATAGTGGTGCGGAAGATGTTCAACAAACGTACGGTGATCGTGGTCTTCTTCGTGGCGTTCGGGGGGGGTGGCGGCAGTGACGGCGAGCCGAGCGGTTAGAACGTGTTCCAGCGGTTGGAACCCGGTGGCCGCCCTGATTAATACCGCACGCGCACGTTTTACAATGCCAAACACACGACGCTCGCTGCACGCTTCGGGGGAGGATTGTTCCACAGACGAAGAAGAGGGAGGAGGGGGGAGAGAGGCCCGGCCACTGAGGGCTCGTCTTCCAAAATATTTCTTTGTATGATCTGAAAAAAAAAATGTTTCGAAAACAATCCACAAATGTGAAGTCACTTTCATGGCATCGCTTCCACGCATTTTCCCCCTCTCTTATAAGTGATGTCGTTTCGACGATGCCGTCACATCGGATTTGCTAAAGTTATTTAAAGTATGAAAATGCACGTTAAAATTGTCCTTTTTATTGCTTTACTGAACTTTCCATAAAAAAAATGTTAATTCGATTATCAAAATATAAACTTAACTTATTAACAACGTGCTTTGTTTACTTCGGCGCATAAACAATTACAAAAATGCGAAAAGGTTCAAATGAATACCGAAATCGGGGCCTGGACAGTCGATATTCAAAACCAATGAACTCCAATATATCCATCGCCGAACACCTATCCAGTCTCGATTTAAAGCTTTCGTGACTGCAGGGATTCATCTTCTTGGTTCTTTCGGTAAAGTCACGTAGAAGGGAAGTAATAAAATAATAAAAATAAAACATAATAAAATAATTCTCACGACGTTTCGGCCACAACGCAAGCAGACCTGGTTTTCTCCTGAGGACGGCTGCTTGCGTTGTGGCCGAAACGTCGTGAGAATTATTTTATTATGTTTTATTTTTATTATTTTATTGCTTCCCTTCTACGTGACTTTACCGAAAGAACCAAGAAGACCTATCCAGTCGTCATCGATCGCCAGGGTCTATCCGCTGCTGGACCGAAGGCGCCCCTGAACCAAGCTCCCCTCTCTCAAGCGCCTCCGCAACCGCGTGCCGTGCCCTCATCCGGAGTCTCCCTCCCGCTGTGCCCTCTCTCGCAGGACGCCCAACCTCAAGAGCGGGTCATGCGAGACCCTGAGCGTGCACAGCACGACCAGCGGGGCGGGCGGCGTGACTCTGCGCCAGCCGGCCAAGAACCGTGCCCGCAACCGCTACAGCAAGCGCTTCTCTCAGGTGAGGGCTCTCCCTCTGCTGGGCCTCCCCCCCCCCCCCCCCCCCCAGGAGGCATGCGGCCTCACCGGGCGGGATCTGATGGTCCTGGGCCTGGTCATGGCCCTGGTCCCTGCCGGAGAATTTTGTACGCGCTTGCAGCTTGGTAATGTGTTTGGTTTAATTGTATTATTATTTTTTTCCAGACGTCCCGTAGAGTAGTGAATTGCACGGACATTTAACCTCCAGTTACAGAGCGCTTCACGGTAGCGAGATGTTAACTACCTCGCCTGATGTACAGAAGGTCGTGGGTTCGATCCTGACCCCAATGCCTGCTGTATATTTGGAGTTTGCGTGTCTCTCTCCGAGGGGAGATGTTAACTACCCCGCCTGGTATACAGGAGGTCGTGGGTTCGATTCCCACGTTTAGAATCGACATCAGGCGTTTAGACTATTTGGCCGCTGCTATAAATGTCCACGTGATGATAACCCACACTATCATTTGTGGCAGCCAGGTCGCTTCTGAAGAAGAGCCATGTAGCTTAGTGGGCCTTACAACTAGACATCTTTGAGACAGAGCTTCACAGCTCATCGGATTCCTCCAGTTTAAAATTTAATATTCTGATCCTGAGGGCGGTTTCCCCGCTGAGCTGTGTGATAACAATTGGCCGATAACACCTTAATATATAGAGGACCGCAGACCTTTGGGCAATTGTTGGGTAGTACCGGGTCCTCGACCCCGTGGTTCCTCGTGCCTCAAAAATAAAAATAGTAAAAACCTAGATGTGGTAGTTAGTCGGGTGGACGGTAAGGGGATGACAGCGACCCCAAGCGACGACCGGGACGGACGCGGCCGGATTAATCCGGAGCTCTCTTCCCACCGCAGGTGTTCGGCCGTGGCGGTGCCGGTGCCGGTGCCGGCGCGGGCGGTCAGGCCACACCGCCGCCGCCGCCGCGGGGCGGCTCCGTGGCGGCCGAGGTGGGCGGGCGGCACACGGAGGACCCCACGGAGCTGTCCACCCAGGTGACGGCGCCCGGCGTGCTCAAGATCTTCGGCGGGGAGATCTCGGCGGGCGCCAACTACAAGAGCGTGCTCGCCACGCCCGCGTCGTCGGCGCAGGTGAGATCGCCGGCGCCGGGACACCCACCCCCCCACCACCACCCCACCCCCTCCCGCCTGGCCCCTCGTCCCAGCACAGGGGCAGCTGCCACGGGGGGGGGGGGTCCCCTAGGCAAAAACGCTTAAAGGCATTTCAGCACCTGCGCTGGGAATTTGAATTACCTCGCCTGGTATGCAGAAGGTCGTGGGTTCGATCCCAACCCTGACACGCCCTGACTAGGAGATGTTGACTACCTCGCCTGGTATGAGGGAGGTCGTGGGTTCGATCCCGACCATGACACGCCCTGACTAGGAGATGTTGACTACCTCGCCTGGTATGAGGGAGGTCGTGGGTTCGATCCCGACCATGACACGCCCTGGCTAGGAGATGTTGACTACCTCGCCTGGTATGCAGGATGTCGTGTGTTCGATCCCGACCATGACACGCCCTGACTAGGAGATGTTGACTACCTCGCCTGGTATGAGGGAGGTCGTGGGTTCGATCCCAACCCTGACACGCCCTGGCTAGGAGATGTTGACTACCTCGCCTGGTATGCAGGAAGTCGTGTGTTCGATCCCCATCCTGACACGCCCTGGCTAGGAGATGTTAACTACCTCGCCCGCCCCCCCCACCTGCGGAATAACAACAACAACAGCCGCAATTCGCCGCTCAGCGGCGGTGACGTCACCACGGCGCCTGTGCCAGGCTACGTGCGCTTTGAGGCTATCACGTGAAGTGCCGAACGCCCGCTGGTAGGAGGTCACGGGGCAGACCCAGGCGCCGTGGGTTGACCGACTGGCGGATTGCACCGCCCGTGCCCGCCTACCGCGCCAACTTGTCCCGGTAGCGATCCGCGTGGCTCCAAATGCACAGGCCGATTTCGTACGCTCCATCTCCCCAGTGGACTTCCTCTTGGGGCGAGTTTCCCCTTCCTCGGCTTGCCACTCCATGCTGGCTGTCTGCACCCCTCCCACCCCGCTAGCCACCGTGACACCGTCCTCCTCACCAAGCCCCCTTGTTTGTCTTAACACTCAATATGATGTCACCACGTATGTGCGTGCGTGTGTGTGTCTGTGTGTGTGTGGGGAGCGGTGGCGTGGCGGTTAGCGCTACGCTGCGCTACGAACCCGGCAAGAGTCCCGAGTCGATTCCCGTTCGCGGCCAACACCGGTGACGATGATCTGAACGGGTCCTGGGCCTCCCCTTGGTCGACTCAGCCTCAAATGAGTACCCGGCGTGGTGTGTAAACATCGGCACTGGGGAGACAAAGGCGGCCGGGCGTGGTGCTGGCCACCCACACCTCGTATACCGTTCCGGCCTTCATAGGTACTACTCGCTAGCAGCACTTGCCCCTACAGTCTGCGGAAGGCTATCCAGGGGGATCTTTGTCTTTTAAAAATATTTATATATAAAACATTGGCCAAAAACATCTTCATATATAGAGTACCTGTAGAAAAATCCACGCGACCACGGGGAGAGGGAGAGAGACAGGCAAACTCCAGATAGGCAGTAGGTGTCAGGGTCGGGATCGAAGCCACGACCTTCCCCATTCCAGGCGAGGTAGTCAACATCTCCAAGCCAAGGGGACATCAGGGTCGGGATCGAACCCACGACCTCCCACATACCAGGCGAGGTAGATAACATCTCCTAGCCAGGGCGGCGTCAGTGTCAGGATCTAGCCCACGACCTCCCGCATACCTGGTGAGGTAGTCAACATCTTCTATCCAGGACGTATCAGGGTCAGGCTTAAACCCACGACCTCCCGCATACCGGGCGAGATAGTCAACATCTTCTAGCCAGGGCGTGTCAGGATCGGGATCGAACCCACGACCTCCCGTGTACCAGGCGAGGCAGTCAACATCTCCTAGCCAGGGCGGTGTCAGGGTCGGGCTCAAACCCACGACCTCCCGCGTACCAGGCGAGGTAGTCAACATCTCCTAGCCACCGCGGCGAGATGGCAGAGCCAGGCGGCGCCGTCGATGACTCGTAGAAGCACCACGGCAGAGGCCCTCGGCCACGGCGAGAGAGTCACCGGCGGTGAATCGCGCGCCGGACGGAGCGGCATCCTTCTGCAGGCTCAGGGAGCTGTCTGCCCCCCCCTGCCCCCCCCCCGGTTTCCTTCCTTCCTCTCTGCTGACGTCCACTTGGCCGGGGTGTGGGGACCAGATCCGTCCCGTAGACGCACGGGAACTTCCTGTAGGGCTCCTCCTCCCTCCACCACCACCACCAACCTCACACACGCACCACCACCACCCCCACCACCACTACCAGCACCACCCCCCCCCCCACCACCACCACCCCCACCACCACCACCCCCCCCCACCACCACCACCACCACCACCCCCACCACCACCACCACCCCCACCACCCCCACCACCACCACCACCCCCACCACCACCACCACCCCCACCACCCCCACTACCAGCACCACCCCCCCCCACCACCACCACCACCCCCACCACCACCACCACCACCCCCACCACCACCACCACCACCCCCACCAGCCCCCCCCCCACCACCACCCCCCCCACCACCACCACCACCACCACCCCCCCCACCACCACCACCACCACCACCCCCACCACCACCCCCACCACCACCACCCCCACCACCACCACCCCCACCACCACCAACAACCTCACACACGCACCACATCGGCGAAGCCGGCGAGTGTAGCGTCTGTACGTACGTTGAACTTCTTTTGCGCCGTACGCAGCCGGCCGTAGCTAATCGGAGGTGCGAGGGGGGGGAGGATAACTAACTAACAAACAAAAGCAGTCCTGAAGAAATGAATGTTCAATTTAGTACAGTGGTGTAGTGTATCGTAGCATGGTGTAGTGTATAGTGTAGTGTATTGTAGTGTATAGTGTATAGCGTAGTGTGTGTAGTGTATAGTGTAGTGTATAGTGTAGTGTATAGCGTAGTGTGTGTAGTGTATAGCGTAGTGTGTGTAGTGTATTGTAGTGTATAGGGTAGTGTAGTGTATGTAGTGTATAGTGTAGTGTATAGCGTAGTGTGTGTAGTGTATAGTGTATTGTAGTGTATAGCGTAGTGTGTAGTGTATTGTAGTGTATAGGGTAGTGTGTGTAGTGTATAGTGTATTGTAGTGTATAGCGTAGTGTGTGTAGTGTATAGTGTAGTGTCTAGTGTAGTGTATAGCGTAGTGTGTGTAGTGTGTAGTGTATTGTAGTGTATAGGGTGGTGTGTGTAGTCTGTGTAGTGTGTGTAGTGTATAGTGCAGTGTATAGCGTAGTGTGTGTATTGTAGTGTATTGTAGTGTATAGCGTAGTGTGTGTAGTGTGTAGTGTATTGCAGTGTATAGGGTAGTGTGTGTGGTGTATTGTAGTGTATAGGGTAGTGTAGTGTGTGTAGTGTATAGTGTAGTGTGTGTAGTGTATTGTAGTGTATAGCGTAGTGTGTGTAGTGTATTGCGTAGTGTGTGTAGTGTATTGTAGTGTATAGGGTAGTGTAGTGTGTGTAGTGTATTGTAGTGTATAGCGTAGTGTGTGTAGTGTGGTGGGTACGTATATACGTTGACCTTTCGCACTATAAGCACCCAACCGTAGCCAATCGGAGATGCGTGTGGAAGGATAACAAACTAAGCACCGCAAACGACGAGCAGTTCTCGGGTTTGGTCAATCGAGACGACGACTTAAAAGTCCCCACAGCTCCCAGCGCCTTCCTAACATCGTTAGCAAGAAGCAGAGCGTTCCAGACGGCCGCAGAGTCGCAAAGCGCCGCGCGTGACTGGACGCGGTGGCCAGCGTCTCTCCGGCTCGGCCGACGGTCGCAAGCGATGCCGCTGAACCGTGAGAGAATCGTCGCTCGCGTCCGTCGTGTGAGGATCGTCGATGTAGCCATGCGCCCCCCTCTCCCCTCTCTCTCCGTGGCGTCTGTCCCACCACTCACCACCCCCCCCCCCCCCTTGTCTCTGTGTGGGGTTTCCTCCGGGCTTTCCGGTTTCCTCCCAGAGCAACAACCAAAAATTGGGGGCAAAATTGGACGTGGGTAGGGTGGGGGAGTGGGGGGGGGGTCTTGGGGGGCGGTGGAGGTGGGGGGGGGGCTGCCCTTGCTCACAACGCATTCCTCGTCACCCCTTTTGCACCACTGCAAAGTCAGCGACGTCACGATGCTGCCACGGCTGGGGGCTTCGAGCTTCCTCAAGGGGTTGGGGGGCAGTTCCAAGGGGTAGGGAGGGCAGTCCCAAGGGGTAGGGGGGGCAGTTCCAAGGGGTAGGGAGGGCAGTCCCAAGGGGTGGGGGGGGCAGTCCCAAGGGGTGGGGAGGGCAGTCCCAAGGGGTGGGGGGGGCAGTCTCAATGGGTGGGGAGGGCAGTCCCAAGGGGTGGGGGGGGCAGTCTCAATGGGTGGGGAGGGCAGTCCCAAGGGGTGGGGGGGGCAGTCTCAAGGGGTGGGGGGGGCAGTCCCAAGGGGTGGGGAGGGCAGTCCCAAGGGGTGGGGAGGGCAGTTTCAAGGGGTGGGGAGGGCAGTCCCAAGGGGTGGGGGGGGGCAGTCTCAATGGGTGGGGAGGGCAGTCCCAAGGGGTGGGGGGGGCAGTCTCAAGGGGTGGGGGGGGCAGTCCCAAGGGGTGGGGAGGGCAGTCTCAAGGGGTGGGGAGGGCAGTCCCAAGGGGTGGGGGGGGCAGTCCCAAGGGGTGGGGAGGGCAGTCCCAAGGGGTGGGGGGGGCAGTCTCAAGGGGTGGGGAGGGCAGTCCCAAGGGGTGGGGGGGGCAGTCCCAAGGGGTGGGGAGGGCAGTCCCAAGGGGTGGGGAGGGCAGTCCCAAGGGGTGGGGAGGGCAGTCCCAAGGGGTGGGGAGGGCAGTCCCAAGGGGTGGGGGGGGCAGTCCCAAGGGGTGGGGAGGGCAGTCCCAAGGGGTGGGGAGGGCAGTTTCAAGGGGTGGGGGGGGCAGCCCCAATTTTTATTTTTTACCCAGAATCCAACATTTACGTTGGGACAAACACCAAAACCTTCCCTTCAATTCACTTTTTCCTGCGGCAAATATCAACCAAGACCACTTTGTTATATTTTGTTGGGGGGGGGGAGGTCTCAAGATGGGGGGGTGAGGGGGGCTCGGGAGGGGGGGGGGGCTCGGGGCGATTGCCACTTGCCACTGACCGGCGTCGCAACATACGCTCAAACAACTCACACGACGCGCGGGCGAAGCCCTCATCCAGCAGTGGAGCGGGGGGTGGGGGGCGGGTGCCTTGAGTGTAAATACAAAATATCCCTGGCGGGGAAGGGTGGGGGGTCATGGGCACCACACCAGAGCCCCCCGAGAAAGCCCACTTGAGGAATGAACAGCGGAGGTAGGGGGCTGTGTTGAGTGTCATCACCACGCTGTTGGCACGGGCCGTGGTGCTGCAGTTAGGTGGTGAGCGAGGGTTGTGTGCACGCGCACGTGTTTACATGTGTGTGTGTTTACATGTGTGTGTGTTTACATGTGTGTGTCTGTGTGTGTGTTGACGGCAGTGTAGCGGTTAGCGCGCTGCGCTATGAACCTGGCGACCCGGGTTCGATTCCCGCTCACGGCTAACACCAGTGACGATTATCTGAACCGGTCCTGGGCCTCCCCTAGGTCGACTCAGCCTTAAATGAGTACCTGGTGCGGTGTGTAAACATCGCCACTGGGGAGACAAAGGCGGCCGGGCGTGGTGCTGGCCACACCCACCCCCTCGTGTGCCGTGCCGGCAGTCATAAGGTTGCCACTCACTGGCAGCACTTGACCCAACAGTCTTTGTCTTTTGTGTGGATGGGACCAGCTAACAGCACTTGCCCCGACAGTCTGTCCGGGTTACCTGGGGGACCTTTGTTACGGAGCGGCCGCGCACAGAAGGTAGCAGTGGTGGGGGGGGGGGGGGTCAGGAAGAGCGCGAGACGGAGGGGTGGGAACGCCGCCTCTCCGCTTTTTTTTTGACGCGGAATGATTTCGTTGCCGATTTGCACGTTCACATTTGCTGGGCGAGGCCACTAAAAACAAAAGTGAAGAAAAGAAAAAACCCACACAAGCCGAGCAGTGCCGGATGAAGCGAGTGCGGAGCCTGTAGCATGATGTTATAAAGGGGCCCTTAAAAAAAAAACACTTAAATATTTAAACGCAATTTTCTTTCTACTTGCATAGTAAAGTAATTGTATTTTTTTATCTTCTATACAGCCAGATAATACGACTAATCGCTAAGCTTAAACACCCAGTCGTTCCTAAATGTTGCAGGCAGTATAGTACTATAGTGTTAGAGCAAGTGCAGAATCACTGAACCGGAATTGATAGCTTGAAAGCATTTAGCGCTGGACCCTTGAAAGTGCGGGCCCCGTAGCTCCTACACATGTAGCAGCTACTACACATGTAGCTACTTTTGCTACTTAGGATAATCCGGCACTGGACCCGAGCAAATTCTGTGTGTCGTCAAGAGCCCTCCTCCACCCGACGCTGGGCAGCGGAGGCGGCTTTGCCCCCGAGAGTTGCTGCTCCCGGCCCGGCCCGCAGACGCGGTCGGCTACGTACGGTGCAAAAGGTGGTGATGGTGGTGATGCGACCGTCTGGAACGCTCTTCCGCCCGATATTAGGAAGCCACTGAAGCTACGCACTTTTCAACCATCTTGGTTGAGAACTGATTTCTTTCCAACTGCTCTTCGTGTCAAGCGTTGTTGTCCTTCCCCCGTACCTACGATTAACCGGCTACGTACGGCGCGAAAGAAGTTCAACATACGCGCGGACCAGAGCAGCGGCGGCCAATACCCGCTTCGCGGACCACGATCCACGCACGAAGATGTGTGCTTGCTACGCTCAGCGTGCGTACGTATTAATAATATCAGAGCCGTGCCGTGACCACCACCTCCACCACCCCGCACCCCACCTCCCCCCGTGCGTGTGCAGGAGCTCGTGAAGGAGGCGCTGGAGCGCTACGGGCTGGAGCGCTCGCTGGCGGGAGACTACGTGCTCTGCGAGGCCGTGGGACGCACGACCGCCGGCGCCGATGGCATCGGAGGCGGCGGCGGCGACGGTGCCGCGGCGACCGGGGAGGCATCGACGGGGGCCCCCGGCGGCGGCGAGCCCTGGCGTGCCGAGTGCCTGCGCGCCATCGCCGACTACGAGAAGCCGCTGCTCCTTCAGGTGCCGCCACCGCCGGCACCGGCGGGAGCGGTTTAGCCGCGCGGCCACGGCGTTCCGTTGAGCTTTCTCCCTCTCGGTTTTTCGTTTTGGTTCCTTTCCGCCACGGCGTTTCGGGAAAAGCGGCGCTGGGCTCCGCTTGTGCGGCGAACGTCGCGGCAAAAATCCACGGCCGAGTGGTCAGAGTCGTCGTCGAAATATGTTTTATTGGGCCTGCGGAAATCCGGCACGAGCGCGAACATGCGAGCCGCACGCCGGGCGTGGCACAGAACTTGCCCTCGTCTCTCGGCTAGCCCCAATGCAGCCACGCGTACCCTGTCCATTCGTCTCGGTTAGAAAGTAAACAAAAGTGAAAAAAGTCGGAATCAAAAAACGTATGGCGATGACCCCATATCTATGGGTGAACTTTTAGCCAGTATCAAAATGTTTGGGGGGGGGGAACACATTCCTGCGGAGGGAGCTGGTAGGAACGTTGAGTTGCTCGGTCAATGGCCAGGTCAACGGCGGCGTGGTCTATTCAGCAAATATGCCCGACTGTGAGGGCGGGCACAAGCCGGCGTGAGTAGGTTAAACGTTGAGTTTTATAAGGGCACCACGGGGTGACCAGCCCCTCCCCACCCAGCCCCACCCTTCCCACCCAGCACCCTCCCCACCCTCCCCTCCCCACCCAGCTCCTCCTCACCCAGCCCCTCCCTGCACGACGGACAGACAGACACAATAATCCCCTGTGGGCTGGTGGAACCAGGGGGTTCCTACCAGTATAAGAACATGCGTTTACTCCTTTCTGGCAATAAAACACGTGGTGGTGGTAGTGGTGGTGTCAAAGATGTTCAAACGCCAGATACCAACACCGGTTGGGAGGCACCAAGTCTCCATTGACCACGCATCGTACTTGTGTTGCAGGCCCTGTGGAAGCCACGGGAGGATACTCGCGGAGGCTCGAGCTGCGGCCTCGTGCCAAGGTGGAGGAGTCGGCTGGCGAGCGAGACACCCTGACGGCCGGTGGGTCTCCGAATTTTGCCGTGGCCCGGAAAATAGCCTGTGACCTTTTTGTCCGTCCCGTGTGTCCGTTGGTTTGTCAGTCCGTCCGTACGTACGTACGTCCATCTGTCTGTCCATTCATTCGTATGTCCGTCCGGCCATCTATCTGTCCATTCAAGTGTCTGTTTGTCCACCCATCCGTCTGTGTGTCTGACTGGTCATTCATCCATTCACGTGTCTGTCTGTCCACCCATCCGTCGTCTGTTTGACTGGTCATTCATCCATTCACGTGTCTGTCTGTCCACCCATCCGTCTGTGTGTCTGACTGGTCATTCATCCAGCTGTCCCTTTGTTCGTCCATCCATTCTCGTGTCTGTCTGTCCACCCATCCGTTTGTCCGTCTGTCTGTCTCTGTCCATCCATCTCTCTGTCCATCCATCCATTCCCGTGTGTCTGTCCATCCATCCGTTCGTGTGTCTGTCCATCCATCTGTTCGTCTGTCAATGCACTTCTGCTGCAGTGTGGAATGCTCTTCCTTCCGACAACAGGAAGCCACTGGGAGCGATGCTCTTTTAAATCATCTCGACAGATTGACAGACGCATTTCTTTAGAAATGCTTTTTGTCTTCAGTTTATTGTCCTTCCCCCGCACCTCCGATTGCCACGGTTGGGCTACGTACGGTGCGACAGAAGTTCAACGCGCACGCGCGCGCACGCACGCACACACGGCGACGGGCGAAGAGGGCGTCAATATCACGGCGGGAAGACGTCGCTGCTGCCTTCAGCTGGGAACCCGTTTGGGTTTTTTGCGACAGTGCCCCCAAGACATTCTTGCAAGGGAGGAGGGGGTACTCACTTTGATGCCCGGACCAAATAAACCCCCCCGGCCGGTGGAGGGTGGGTGGGGTGGGGGCTCGTCTGGGACCCTAGAAATCCGCGCAATTAAGATTCCTGCCGGCGTGTTCCGATAGCCAGGCGGCGAGCACCGCCGTGGAGCGACGACTATTTTGCGTCTGCGACGGAGCGGCGCCACCTGTGCTTGTCCCTTAACGTCGCCGCGCGTCTTCACGTCCGTGCGGGCGGGCGGGCGAGGCGCTGGCGGACGAAGTGACGGAGCGAAGTCACGTGGGGGGCGGGGGGAGGGGGGCAGGGGGGGGCAAGGGGGGGCCAAACTGCCGTTGCAAAGGCGACGCTTACGACGTATCCGGGAGAGGGGTTTGTTGTACGATAGACGCAACTCCAACATATACAGCAGCAGGCATCAGGGTCGGGATCGAACCCGCGACCTCCTGTGTACCAGGCGAGGTAGTTAACATCTCACCACGGAGAGAGACACGCAAACTCCAAATATACAGCAGCAGGGGTCAGGGTCGGGATCGAACCCACGACCTCCTGTATACCAGGCGAGGTCGTTAACATTTCCTAGCCACCGTGGCTCGGCTGTGGCTCAGCTCATGGAACATCTTGAGTCCGTGGCTCAGAGCCGGCTCGAGTGAAGCGCGGCCGCTGCGAGCGACGGCCTCCGCTTGACCCGGAGCCGATCTCTGGACATGTGCGTAAAAGAGTTTCACGGTTCATCGGATTCCTCCAGCATCCATACAGATTCTGAACCGAGCCGTGGCGTTAACATTCCCATTAAAATCGCACGCAATTAACTCTCTCTCGCTGCACTCTGATGTTGCCCCACCTGATGACGGAGACTTGTGTTGCCTCCGAAACGTCGTGATTTTTTTTATTAATTTAAATTTCATTTTTCACCTACGTGACTTTACCGAAAGAACTAAGAGTATGAATCCTTGCAGTCACGAAAGCTTCAAATCTAGAGAATTAACTCTCTCCCCCGCCGCCGCCGCCGCCACCCCACGACCCGCAGGCATCAACGCGCAGGCGCGGCGGCTGCAGATGAGCCGCGCGCGCGTCTCCACCGTGATGAGCGCCTCGCCGCAACTCGGCCCGCCCACGGTGCCCAACGGCGGCTACGCCGAGTGGATCGCGTCGGCCAGCGACCTGCGGCGCACCGTCAGACATGCACATCCCGCAGCGGACGCTCGTCGGCGACGGCGGCGACGGGGGGAGCCCCGCGCCTCCCGCCAGGGCGGCTCCGTCGCGGCCGCGCCACGCGCTGGCGCCCATCGAGGGCGACTACGACCTGTGCATGGGGCCCGCGCTGCCGCTGCGCGGGAGGCCGCTGGGCGACGACCCGGGGCGCTACGCTGCCGTGCGCCCGCCGGCGGAGACGCCGTACCTGCTGCTGCTGCAGGGCTGCGACGGAGCGCAGGTTCGGGGGCCCGCCGCACACCCCCCCCCACCCTCCCCCCCCTCCCACCCCCCCACCCCCCCCGCCCCCCCACCCTCCCCACGCCGGCTCAGCACGGGAGGCGCGGGGTCACTTTGCACCGTCATAGGGCGCCGCGGTGGCTAGGAGATGTTGACTACCTCGCCCAGTACGCAGGACATCGTGGGTTCGATCCCGACCCTGACGCGCATAAACAACGGCGGCTAACGCGGGGGGCCCTCCCCCCCCTCCTCCCCCCGCCTCCAACCCGAATCCCGAGGGCCGCCGCAGGACCTGCTGGTGTACCTCCTCGACGGCGCGCGCCATTCCATCGGGAGGGGCGCCGTCTCCGACCGGCCTCAGGACGCCG